ATTGGCTTCACAAGGAAGCCCAACAGCTCTTCCTGAAGCCTGAGGTGCTGGACCCAGGTCTGTAAAGCTGAGGTGGAGTGAGCCAAATGAAGAAGAGCTAGTCAAGTTCATGTGTGGTGTAAAGCAGTTCTCTGAAGAGCAAGTCTGCAGCAGGGTCAAGGGGCTGAGCAAGGGCCACCCAAGAAGGACCCAGGGCTGTCTGGATGATTTCTTCAAGGAGACCGACTCTCTCTTCAGCTAAGCATAAAGAGTCAGAATCCAAGGGATCCACTAAGAAAAAGGCAAAAACTGGGACATCAGGAAAGTTTAAAAGGGAAAAATAAATGTGTTTCCCTCCATTATACTTCCTGACTTCAGAATGCCTTCTTGTACACTTAAGAACTAGAGCTAGAGCAACCTCCATGGGGAGGAGAGGGGATTTCATTGCTTTTCTTGCATTACCCTTCTCCGAAATGTGTTTTCCCTTTTTTTGCTTGATTCCGTAAGGTAGAAAGGCCACAGAGGTATGTCTCCCCACACCACCACCACCACTCAGCAAAGTATGTCAGGCTCAAACCACTTCTCAGGCAGTTTCGTGGACACTGAATCTATTTTATATGAAAGTTACAGCATCAATTTGGGAGATAAATGGTGGAGACAAAAAAGACCATGCAGAAATGCCAACTGGTGCCTATGGAAGGCGATGATTGAACTATTTCTCTAATTCAGCTTTGACCCACACTGAAAGAGTCATCAGGAAGACCCAGTCTGGGAAGCACTACTGAGAGATAACATAGATAGGAGTTCCTGGAGTTGGCTACAAGGATTTCATTATTGGCTGTGTTTTGGGGTAGACAGAAAGTTGAACTTGCAATGTAATTCGAGTCTTTACAGTGGTTATTCAGAGTAGTAAAACAGTGATGTTCTTAGGGCCTTTTCGAGGCAATCAACTGAATTGAAACTTTTGGCTAAGACCTTGATTTCCACGTGTTGGTTTTCTTCTAAGGCTACATAAAGAAAAAGTAAAAAAAAGTCTCCAAAATAACAAACTAAATTAAGTGCTTATAAACTAACATTTGGAATGCAAGCCCTGGCTTGGTCGGGTATACCAGAAAGTTCTAACAGACATGGAAAATCTAAAATACCCTGTCCCAAACGGGGAAGTAAAAAAGGCATGTAAGGCCTTTGGAAATCAGGAGATACCTTCCTCCTCTGGTCTAACCCTTTTTCCTTTCCAACCAGGAGACTGGGAATACATCGACACCTGGAAAAAGGGAGGCCCACAAGACCAATTAAAACCTAGATTGAAATGATTCCACCTGGTAATCTTTACCATCAACTCTGCTCTTAAGTTACTGGGACTCCCGCTTGGATATACCACATTGGGGTGAGGAGAACAGAACCACAATTGAAAGAACCCGTACTGTCAAGCCACTCTTTGACCTGGAAGTCTGTTAAAAAAAAAAAAAAAAAGAACAGGTAAGTGACTACATATCTCACCTGACTTGTGGGATTCTGTTCCTTTGACTCTCCTTGGTTCATTTGTCTTTATATTTCTTGTGTTATTGGCTCATGCTTTTTTGCGCTCTACCTGGGTTTTGGAATCAGTAGATTGTCACTGCGTGGTCATACATAACACCAGCCTCCTGTGATCCTGACAGCACAGCATGTTCCTCCCAAAGGCAATTGTCAGCTTCATAAGTCTCCCCCTGTTACTTTTCTCCATACTGCTCCAGGGTTTTACTCCTCTCCTGGGCCAGTAACTCTCTAGTTAGGCTTTCTAAAATCATAGCTCAGGAGGCAGGCCTTTCAGATTGTTAGATATGTCATCAACAACCAATCTGCAAGAGGACACTGTCTTCTTTATGGGTCCCCAGGCCCACAGAAGAGATAATCAAGTGTTATATGATTATAACAAGACTTTTAACTTTATTTTTGAGGGAGTTAAACTCAATACTACTTATTTTTTTCATTTTTCAAATAAGTTAACTGGTACTGTAATCTAGTAATGAGAACTTACCTGAAGATTGTCAAAAACATACAAATGTAAAATTCAGTCTGAATAGTTTCTTTATCTGTGACAAGTCGATAACTAACCTTTTTTAATCTGCCCATCGGGGATATTCTCTCACTATCACAAGATCTTTTAAAAATATGAATCATTGTTGCCAGAGCTTTTGGCTTTTTTCCTTTCTGTATGTCTTGGAAATTCCCTCATACTTCCCTCTTCATTCCTCCCCGCCCCCAAGAAAGTCATCTCTTCATTAACCTTGTATGGGATCTCAGTTAATTTGTTATACCAGGTAACTTTAGCCCGTAACATAGCATGGTAATTATAAAACTTTAGCTAATAAGGAGGACAGTAGGTGGCATAGTGATTAAGGTGCTAGATTTCCACATGGCCGACTACAGTTCAAGTCCCAGATCTGGCAGCTGAAAAAATCACAACAAAAAATAGATAAATAAATTAATGTTTTTTAAAAAAATCTTTAGAACATAAGAATTGTTAGAATAATCTATTAAAAGTGAGGATATCAGGGACTGTTCCCAGGTCCACAGAATCAAAACTGGAGGTGATGTTCAGACAAATGTATAATTAAATGTTTCTTTTTGTGATTCTGTTAAATATCACAGCTGAGAGCCACTTACAAACTGTACCTTTCTAGGAACCAATACAGCTTTCTGGCTATAGACTGTCAGGATAAAAGATATTTGGAGGTTGCATTCATAATGGTGATTTATGGAGGTAATAACAACACTCTGGGTTTTCCCAACAGTGAGAAAACTGTATGGTCAGGCCTATTAGAATATTAATAATATAAATGCAAAGCAAAAATTGCTGTAGAATAACTGGCATGAGAAATGACTGCTAGAATGTAAAAACAACAAAAAAAATACAGTAAAGAAATTGAAAATTACTTTGTGAAAAGATGAGGGTATTTGGAAAATGGCTATAAGAGAAATTATTAGACAAATACTGAATATAGCACTAGGTGAGGTGCTATTTTCAGACAAAAGAAGAAAAGAAAAGGGAAGGGGGATATGGAGGAAAGAAAGGAAGGAAAGGAAAGGGAAGGGTAGGAAAGCACAGGAAGAAACAGATTTTTTTTTAAAGAATTATTTTTAACTTTATTTATTCATTTATCTTTTTTCTCTTTTTTTGAGAGGTTTTCACTATAGGGTGTGTGCGCTCGCCAGACAGACAGAGAGAGACATAGAGACAGAAAGTGAGAAATCACCCCCCAGGGGGGATGGTCACGTCTCAATCCCTTCTCCTCCATTCTCCTCTCGGGATCTTGAGCATGCACGCACATGCACCCAGCGTGAGTTCTAAGCCACCGGGTCCGGGATGCAAACCATGGTAGACTATGTGGGAGTCCAGCAACATAGCCATTACGCTAACTGTTGGTTCCCTTTATTTATTCATTTATCTTAATTTGACCAAAGAGGAACAGAGCCAGAGAGAGAGTGAAAGTGAGAAGGCAAGCCGCCAGGTCCAGGACTCGAACCACAGTCAACCATGTGAAAGTCTAGTGCCCCTGGGACCAGCAGTTAGCGTAATGGCTATGTCACTGGACTCCCACGGAGTCGACCGCAGTTCGAGTCCCGGACCCGGTGGCTTAAACTCACGCCGGGCGCGTGTGCGTGCGTGCCCAAGATCCTGAGAGGAGAATGGAGGAGAAGGGATTGCGGCATGGCCATCCCCCCTGGGGGGGGATTTCCTGCTTTCTATCTCTCTGTCTCTTTCTGTCTGGCTGGCGAGCGCACACGCCCTAAAGCAAAAACCTCTCCAAAAAAAAAAAAAAAAAAGTCTGTGCCCCTAACCACCATGCCAACGGCCAGCCTGAAAACAAAGAGTTTAATATGAATGTTTTTCCATTTTCTACAAAGTTAGGGATAAAATGCTTCAGTTTAGCATTGACAATTCTCTATCATTTAGTCATTTAGTCTTTATTTGATTGTAAGCCACAGAACCAACTCTGGCTAATTTAATCAGAAAAAGATATAAACTAGTTCACAAAATTGAAGTTTCAATCATTTTCAGTCTTTGTATGTTCTTTTAAAAACATTCTCATTCTTAGAGTGTCTTACGCAACATGTTGACAAGTCTTTTGAATAGGAAGACAGGAGATGTTGACTAAAGCCCAACTATAATTTTGCTCATTGAGAAAGAGTTCTTTCAAAGTAAAGTCAGAGTACTGCTATCAAAAGGAGAAATGAATGTTTAAGGACAAAAGGCAAAAAATACTTACTACATCTAAAATGGGGTCCTGATCCCAAAGTAAAATTGAATATATAGAGAAGAGAAATTCCATGCGTTCTCCTTTGAGACATCAGAGGTCAAGATACTGAAAATAACCAAGGAAACTCAGTGTTGGGAGGAAAGAAAGCCCGGTAATTGAGAGTAAATGTTTTAAACTGTGTGTGTGTAGAAGGACCCAAGAAGTCATTATGAGGAGCCAGAAGATGGCACAGTGGTAAAAGCGACAGTCTATAAGGCTGACCTACACGCCAGGGTCCTCAGTTCATATCCAACACCTCTCCAAGTACACTGGGCACATGTGTACCCATGATCTGGGGTTGGATAAGCTGGAGATAGATCATAGTGTCAACACTGTATTGGGAGTGAGGGCCAGCAAGTGGCATGGTGGTTAAGGTACTGGACACTTCAACATGGCTGACCACAGTTTGAGTCCTGGACCTGGTGGCTTGCTTTCTCACTTTCTCTCTCTCTCTGGTAAAATTAAAATAAATGAATGAATAAATAAAATAAAATAATTTTTAAAAAAGACCATGTTGAGAGGTGCTGTTTCTCAGTCTCTGTCTCCCACTCTGTCTCTCTTGCTCATAGAAGAAATAAATTAAAAAAAAATAATAAAATAAAAACCCCTCTTCATTGTGTCATAACCACAAAGATAAACCCGTTTCTTCCCCCTGTGATCAGGCAACTTCTACAAAATGTCCATGTCCCTTACAAAATGCTGTATAGTGCTATTTTGAAAACTAAGTTGACCACCATTATACAGGAACAGCCTGAATTTTATTGGAGAGACAGTAGGGTAATGGTAACTCCCGTATCTTTACGAGGGTAACAAGTCTTCCACTTCCAAGTGCAAGAAAGGTGCAATAATGTCCCGCAACTCCCACATTACGCGGCGCCCGAGCATTCTAGGGAGCAATGTTTCAAAGATAAATGTGGCATCAAAAAATAGTGTGTAACACGACAGTCCAGTGAAGGTGAGGACATAAAACATGACGAAAATCCTCAATGCACGTTTCCTACAAAGAAAGAAAACATCTGTGTTAAGAGAATTCTGAAGAAAACCACATTTGATGGGACCTGTGGCTACTCCCAGGTGGTTCTAAAACTTCAGCTAAATAACTGCATTTCTCTCACTATCAGTTTACACCTGTAAAAGAAGGTGCTTGGTGCAGACGTGCACTTAAGCCCATTAAGTGTAGAAGATAGTGTAGCCACAGAACTCTGAAACCCCTGGATACATAGGTCTTACCCCACACAGAAGTGAAGCCACTGAATTGTACATCTCGAAGGGTGAGTTTTATGGTTTGGAGATTATATCTCAAAAACAAACAAAAGGGCTTTAGAAATGCCCTTCTCGGAGTCAATAGGTGGTGTGGTGGTTGAGGGTGCTGGACCCCCACGTGGCTAACCGACCAAGGTTTGAGTCTGGGACCTGGCAGCTTGCTTGCTTGCTCTCTCTCTCTCTTTCTCTCTCTCTCTCACTCTGTCCCTCTCTGGCCAAATTTAAACCAACCAATCGATCAACCAATAAATAAAGATAAATAAAATAATTTTTTAAAAAAGAAATGCCCTTTTCACATTCTAGCAGGTGATTTCAATCTTACCAGTGGCGTCTGACATCTACACTGGGACAGATAGAGTCATGAGCAGTTAGATTTTTTCCTGGGACACAAATGTGATAAATGGAATTCAGCCATTCTCTGTCACTGGTTTGTGACAATGTCCCCTGCCAATGGACTTTCCCTCATAAAGTAAGGTAACCTTTTTCAAATCCTTGCAGTCTCTTCCTTCTGGGTTCTACCTATACTGTAACTGATTTATTTGATTATAAGTCTTCATGTTATTATAGTCATATTGTAAATGCCATATGTGATAAGGGGAGAAAATTTAGAAAATCTAGAAAACAGAAGGAAAGAAAGGTCACAGATAATTCAATTACTTGGAGGAAATTACCATCTATAATACATTTCAGAAGAGGAAAAACTAGAGCACAGTTAAAGCTACTACAGACCTGTTGTGACCTCAGTGGATTCTATAAACCTGGGTCTATTTTCTTGGCCACTAACAGAAGTACAGGTGTCTTACCTTTAAGCAGTACTGAACTAGATTTTTTTTTTTTTTGAGAGAGAGATTTTTGCTATAGGGCATGTGCACTTGCCAGAGAGACAGAGATAGAAGACGAGAAATCACTTCTCAGGGGGATGGCCACACCACAATCTCTTCTCGTCCATTCTCCTCTCAGAATTTTGGACATACACACCCACATACCCACACATACACATGCCCAGTGTGACTATCAAGCTGCTGGGTCCAGGACTTGAACCATGGTCAACCCTGTAGGGCTTTAGTGCCTTAACCACTACACAACCTACTGGCCTATGTCTTTATGAAAAGAACAGCTCACAACCAAACACATCTAGCAAGCAAGACCTATTCTTTCTAAATTTCAAGTCCAGTCATCTGTGGAAATACTAAACTAGGACAAAATATTACCAGTATTGTAGCATGTATTTCATTCTTCATTGTGACTGAATAATAATACTTCATCGTGTGGATATACTTTTTTTTTTTAAGAGAGATTTTTGCTATAGGGCACATGTGCTTGCTGGAGAAACAGAGACAGACAGAAAAATAGAAAGTGAGAAATCATCCCCCACTGGGATGGCCATGCTGCAATCCCTTCTCCTCTACTCTCCTCTGGGGATTCCAGGCATGCACGCACATATGGCCAGCATTGAGTTTCAAGCTGCCAGATCTGGTACTTGAACCACAGTTGACCATGTGGGAGTCCAGTGTTGTAACCATTACGCCACCTGTTGGACCCATGTACAGGTTTTTATGTGGGCATATGTCTCTGATTCTTTTGGATCTGTGTACCTAGAACCTAGAAATGGGATTGCTGGGTCATATGGTAACTCTATGTTTAACATTTTCAGAGCATGCTGAACGATGTTCTAAAATGACTATGCCATTTTAGAACTATATTCTAAAAATAAATGTACCATTTTACAACCTCACCAGCAATACATACAGGTTCTGACTTCTCCACATACTTTTTTAAAAATTATTTATTTATTTGTTATTATTATTATTTTTTTAAATTGAACTAGAGGGAGACAGAGAGAGAAAAAGAGAAGTTGAGAAAGGAAGCCACCAGGTTTGGAACCTGAACCACAGTTGGCCATGTGTGAGTCCAGCACCTTAACCACCATGCTACCTGCTAGCCCCTCCACATACTCTTTAACCCTTGCTTTTTTTTTTTTTTTTAATTTTAATTGCCAAGGGTCATGTGTGCTTGCCAGAGGGAGAGAAAGAGAGAGAGAGAGAGCACTCTCCTAGTGGGGCATAATCACACTGCAATCCATTTCATCAATTCTCCTTCCCATCAGCATTGTGGGCATGCATGTGCACCTGTTTTCCAAGCTCCCAGGCTGGGATTTGAACTGTGGCCAGCCATGTGGGGTCCAGCTTCCAATGCACAGCACTTAACCACTGTACAATGGGACCGGCCCTTATCTTTTCTATTGCAGCATCTTAGTGCCTAAGTATCCATCTCATTATGGTTTTGATTTTATTTCTTTGATGACCAATGATGTTGAACCTCTTTATAAATGTGCTTATTGCCATTTGTGTATTCTTTGAAGAAATGTCTACCCAAATTCTTTGCCTGTTTTTAAGACCAGATTGCCTTTTTGCTGTTGAGTCGTAAGAGTTCATTATATATTATAAATACTAAATTCTTTTTTTTTTTTGAGAGTTTTCTGCTATATGTGCACTCGCCTAAAAGACAGAGAGAGACAGAGAGACAGAAAGAGAGAAATCAGTCCTTGGGGGGATGGCCATGCTGCAATCTCTTCTTTTTCATTCTCCTCTCGGGATCTTGGGCACGCATGTGCGCCTGGCGTGAGTTTAAGCCACTGGGTCCAGGACTTGAACTGCGGTTGACTACATGGGAGTCCAGCGACACAGCAATTACACCAACTGCTGGTCCCTGAATACTAAATTCTTAATAGCCAGAGTTCTGAAAAGCTGATTTGACCATTATTTTTCTAGTTCTTTTTTGATTGTATGAAGGAGAAAAATTTCCAAGGTCTTCACTCCAGTAATTTCACTGATGTCACTCCTCACTTTTTAAAATGGATTTAACATTTGTTGAGCATTTTGAGCATCTTTTATATGCCAAGTTCCAGAAAGACAAAGACATGAGTCCTGCCTTCCTAATACTCCTGGAGTATTAGGAAAAGACAGATTTGAAACTAATTAATTGCAATAATATGCTATGGGCTCTGTGACATGATTATGTGCAAAATACAGAGTGCATACATTCTTACCACTCAACAAGAAGATGTACAACCCAATGTTTTATACAATGGCCAAGGACTTGACAGAGGAGGGAGCTGCAGATTCTACCTGGGTTGATCGAAACAATTTTCTTAGAGGATTATACTACTTAGCATTTATACGATGTATAGTGTTTCCAAAAAGGGATCCCCAAAGTGGGAATTTGCCAGTACATTCACCTCCACTGCTGTGCAAGGGAAAGGCATCCTGTTTGGCAAACAAAGGTATTCAGATGTGCTTAGCAGATGTGTTCCTGTGCAGGAGGTTGTTACATCATAGCTTATAAATGCCATTCTTCAAGTGTTAGATCAATAGACGATTGCTAGATGGATAGACAGAAAGATTGGAATTGTATAGAGATAAATCTATCAAAAGCAGTAAGAGGGGCCAAGCTGTTGGCATGGTTGCTAAGGCACCAGACTCTCACATGCCCGACTGCAGTTCTAGTCCCAGACCTGGTGGCTTGCTTTCTCGCTTTCCCTCTCTCTTTCTCTGTCTCTCTCTGGTCAAGTTAAAAGATGGTGGTAATAATGAATAAAATTAAATAAATAATTCTTTTTTTAAAAAAGGCAATAAAAAAGCAATCTAGGTCTGGCCTCATGGCCTAGTGGTTAAGGGAGTTATATCCCATATAGCCAACTGTAGTTCAAATCCTGATGGCTTGGAAAACTTGCTGGGGGGACCAGCAGTTAGTGTAATGGCTATGTCGCTGGACTCCCATGTAGTCGACCGCGGTTCACGTCCTGGACCCGGTGGCTTAAAACTCACACCAGGCGCGTGTGCGCACATGCCCAAGATCCCGAGAGGAGAATGGAAGAGAAGGGATTGTGGTGTGGCCATCCCCCCTGGGGAGTGATTTCTCGCTTTCTATCTCTCTGTCTCTCCCTGTCTGTCTGGCGAGCGCACGTGCCCTATAGCAAAAACCTCTCCCCCCCAAAAAAAAAAAACTTGCTGGGTACATGTGTGTTCATGCCTCAAATTCTGATAGGATGGAGAAATGGAGAAGAGATTATGGTTTGACCATACTTCATTGAGGATGTTTTCTTCCTCTCTCTCTCTTTCTGTCCCTTTGTCTCTGGTGAGCTCACATGCACTCTGGCCAAAAAAAAAAGAAAAGAAAAGAAAAGAAAGAGAGAGAGAGAAAAGAAAGAAAGCAATCTATTATCTATAGAGCTATGAAACAGATCTATATCTGAAACAAGAAAAACATGATTTTAACTGACAGAGACTTTTAAAGAACATAGATAATTTACAAAAGAAAATACAAAATTTTAGTCAACACTTGAAAAAATTCAGTCTTACTTCACTCCACCCACTTTGGGGCCGCTGTCTAGCGTACAATGATCTCCTTCTGAGACTTACCACACGGTGCCATGGGGAGGTGAGTTCTGCACTAAAGGAGGTGGCGGAGCCAGAGGAAGCAGTGGCTCTATTTCTTCAATAACCATTTCTTCAGGACTGGGAGAGTCTGTTTTCCTTTCTTGCATTTGGTACATTCCTAGATTTGTATTCAACACAGTCATGTTCTTACAGAAGTTCTGGTGAGGAAAAAAAGCAATCAACTTTTTTATTTTTTATTTTTGGAGAGGTTTTTGCTATAGGGCACATTTGCTCACCAGAAAGACAGAGAGAGAGACAGAAAGTGAGAAATCACCCCCAAGGAGGATGGCCACAACACAATCCCTTCTCCTCCATTTTCCTCTCAGGATCTTGAGCACGCACACACACGTGGCCAGCGTGAATTTAAGCCACTGGATCTGGGATTCTAACCGCGGTCGATTACATGGGAGTCCAGTGACGTAGTCATTATACCATCTGCAGGTTCCAAGAATTTTTTTTTTAACTTTTATTTATTTATTTATTTATTTTAATTTGACCAGAGAGGAACTGAGGGAGAGAGGGAAGGAAGGAGAGAGAAAGAGAAAATGAAAAAGCAAGCCACTAGGTCCAGGACTCGAACCACAGTCGGCCATATGCGAGTCTAGTGCCCTTAACCACTATGCCACTTGCCAGCACCAGAAATCAACTATTAAAAAAAAAATCTAGGAGCCAGGCAGTGGTACAGCAACAACACAATTGGATCACATGGGAAAGGTCCTGCGTTTCTGTCCCAGGACCTCTCGGGACCCATATTTACTGAGACTGGGGGTGAATTGTGCTGTGAAGTCTGTTGATGGTGTCTGTTTCCCTCTTTCCTTCTGTCTCACTGTTATGGAGGAAATAAATCAATAAACTTAAACAGTTTTAATTAAAATAGACAATAATTCTAGATGTCTCCCCATCTTATGGTAGATGATACAGAGTACTTTGCCTTTGGAACACCTCAGGGGCTCACATTATCACATGGAGGTCACGTGAGGGAGTCATTGGTAAGTTCATACTCACTTAATAGAAGAAGATTTAATACATTCACAGAGAAGAGTAGAAAACTAGTAAAACTCACATTCTAATGTTTATTTATGGATTTTTCTATGTTGGAAGGTATCCTTGTACTGAATTCATCTATTTGATTTGTTCATCTAGGTAAAATATATTTACTGAGTGACTACTGCTGGGTAGGCTTGTGGCCTGGTGATGAAGCAGGAGCCCACATGATCAACGTGCAGTTTGAGTCTCAAACCCAGTGTCTTGTGCATGTGTGCCCCAAATCCCGATGAGATGGCGAATAGAGGAGAAGGGATTGCACATGACTTGCCCCATTAGGGGATGCTTTATCACTCTCCCTCCTTCTCTCTGGCTAGCACATGTGCCTCCTGGGAATTTTTTTTTTTTTTTGAGAGAGAGAGGTTTTTGCTATAGGGCGTGTGTGTTCACCAGAGAGACAGCGAAAGACAGAGAGCTAGAAAGTGAGAAATCACCCCCGGGGGGACAGCCATGCCACAGTCTCTTCTCCTCTCAGGATTTTGGTCATGCACACACACACACCTGGCATGAATTTTAAGCTGTCGGGTCTGGAACTCTAACCATGGTTAACTATGTGGCAGTCCAGTGATATAACCATTATACCATCTGCTGGTCGAGAGAGAGAGAAAGCTGCCAGATCTGGGACTCGAACCGCTGTCAGCCTGTCAGTCATGTGGGACTCCAGTGCCCTTAACCACCATGCCACCTGCCAGCTGACCCCCACAGCAAAATTTTAAAAAGAAAAAGTGACTACCACCTACCAGGCACTATTCTAGGACAGAATGATTAACAAAATAGTCAAGGAATATGCAGTCTACTAAATGTGCGCTTACAGGGCTGGAGGAACTGTAATAAACAACTAAACACATACGTACGTTGGATGTCACAGATTAAGATTCATGGTAAAGAAAAAGCTAAAAAGGGAATGAACTAGAGACGAGGTGAGGGTTGATGGTGACATCTGCTCTAGATAGGAGAAATGAATAGGTACCTCTGAGCAGGTGACAGTTTGATACATTCGCTCTTTCATTGTTTCATTCACCCATTCACATTTATTCCAAAGTCTGTGGGAAGCATTCAGAGCTGAAGTCGTTTTTCTGGCTAGGGGAGATTAGGAAAGGTCTGGTAGAAGAGATGGCACTGGGCAGAGCCTTGAGGTTCAGTCATTTGTAATGTGGAGGATGAGCTCCAGAAGGAGGGATGTGAAGTAGAAACAGCACAGGCTACGGGAGTCTGGGAGAACATCAGAGCTGTGAGATGTTCTGTCAGTCCAAGGCAGAAGGCAGGAGAGGGAGAGAGTGATAGGGAAGAGACCAGTATGTGGTAGACTCTTAAACTCTGGGGGAAGAACTGCCCTGTATTTAGACACAAATAATCTTATTTTATCATCATTTGGACTTGGGTAACTGAAATCTTACCTCTATTTTTTCAACAAGTTTCTCCTTTAATTCATGAGCTTCATTACAAGCATCTGCCTGAAAAGACATCAGAATTCTGAGTAAAATGAAAATTATATGTATATGTGTGTGTGTGTGTGTGTGTATGTGTATTTTTATATTTTTCCTTTTTTTTTTGGACAGGGTTTTGCTATAGGGTGTGTGTGCTTGCCAGAGAGACAGAGACAGAGAGACAGAAAGTAAGAAATCACCCCCAAGGGGGCATGGCCACGCTACAATCCCTTCTCCATTCTCCTCTTGGGATCTTAGGCATGCATGCACATGCGCCTGGTGTGAGTGTAAGCCACCGGGTCCAAGACTCGAACTACGGTCGACTACATATGAGTTCAGCGACATAGCCATTATGCTAACTGCTGGTCCCTATATTTTTATTTCTTCCATGTGTGAGTGAGAAAGAAAGGAAGAGCAACATCCCATTGGGATTTGGGGCACATTAAGACCCCAAGAGAGTCTTTATGCCACCACCCACTCTCCACTTCAGCCAGCTCTGAATCATGGGCATACATGTGCCTGGTGCATTCAGGGAGGACTTTGGACATGAACCCAGAATTTTCCCTCTGTGTCAGCTCACAGGGTCACATTTTACCACTGAGCCCCCGTCCACCCCTATACATTCTATTTTTTTGATTTACACAATAATATCTCATTCATTTTGACACCACTTACAAGATGTATTCACTTTTCCAATTTTAGTATATGTGCTGCTGAAGCGAGCACAAGATGTATTCACTTTTAATAAAAGTGAATAATTAATTAATTAACTGAAAATTACTTTTTTTTTTTTTTCTGGTAGGACACACGTGCTTGCTAAAAGAGAGAGAGAGAAAGAGAAAGAGAGAGAGTAAGAAAGCACCTCAGACGTGGAGGGTAACCACTCTGCAATCTCCTTTTTTCCATTTCTCCCTCTTTTTAGGTTTTTGGGCACATATAAACAAGTGTCCAGTGTGTTTTTCAAGCCACTGGGTCCAGAACTCAAATTGTGCCATTGGCTACATGGGATCCAGCTGCCTTAACCATTATGCCATTGACTGGCCTGAAATTTATTTTTATTCAGTAAAATCCTTCTTCTTAGAGCTACTTTATAGTGTAATTATGAATTGCAAATTGCATGTTAAGTAAATGCACATTTACACAATGGCAGCTTGTTATAAATTATTTCTATTCATTACTTCTTCCTTGGAACTCATAAAACTTCCACCAGAGCACTAGTTGGAGAAATATAGTGTGTTTCTGAAAAAATAAGGGGAAAAATTTTTTTAAAGGTTTTTGCCATAGGGTATATGCACTCACTGGAGAGAGACAGAGAGGGAAAGGAAGAAATCACCCCTTATGGGATGGCCATGCTTCAATCCCTTCTCCTCCATTCTTTTCTCAGGATTTTGGGTACACAGGCACAAATGCCTGGCGTGATTTTCAAGGTGCCAGGTCCAGGATTTGAACTGTAGTTGGCCATGTGGGAATTCACTATGCCACTTACTGGCCCAAAGTTTTCATACTGAAAAATGTATGATTTATTAAATGTCAGTCCTCATTATGTCAGATTGAATGTTGGCGTCTTTTAACTTAGCAAAAGAGCTGTCCACAAAAAGGGGATCTAGTTTCCTCTTTTCTTCACATGGACTGTTGTGCACAGGGCCCAGCAGGTGGCATGGTGATTAGGCTGCTGGACTACCACATGGCTGACCTTGGTTTGAGTCCCAGGCTTGGCGGCTTGCTTTTTCACTTTCCCTTCTTTCTCTCTCTCTCTGTTTCTCTCTGGTCAAATGAAAAAAAAATAATAATAAATAAAGTTAAATAAAGAGTTATTTTTAAAAGGTTTCTGAAACTTTTAAAAAGTAGGTGACTTCACCTGATTTCTGTCAGTTGGAACAAGACACAGGCTGAAAGCAAACAATCCCATTCAAAGACTTGAATGCTAAGTGTACACGTGTTAGAAGTAAATGATGCCTTTAAAGGTTTTAAAGAAATCAGCCCATAATAGACTTGAGGATATCTTGAAAAATCAAGCTAAAACAGGAAGAATAATATACTAAGATTCAAGAAAGATGAATTCTAGAGATGATAGTTCTAGAAACTGAGTCTTCAAGAAGTGTGGAGAGCAGCCAATCTGAAAACATGTGATTAAAACATGTGGCCTGCTCTTCTTAAAACTCAATACCTCAATACTGCCCAGTATCAGGCTAAAAAAGTCACAAGCCTTTTTCAATTTATTCCCCCCCAAAAATCTATAAAATTATCTGGCGCCCGTCATTTTCACATCTTCAGTCGATTTACATCCTAAGACAACTGGCTTTGCATCCCAATTTCACCTCCCTTATTCTCTTCGCATTCCACTTCCTTCTTCCGCATTCCTTTTACATCCCATTCTCCCCTTCCATTCTCTACCCTTTAAAGGAATAAGCCTGAGGCTAATTATAGTCACAATTTCTCCATCAAAAAAGTTGTGCCCACCCAATCCTCACTTTTCTATACTTATGTGTCTTTGTGTGTTTTATTATTGCGTCTATTTCTAATCCGCAGCCTTCCCCACTCAAGAAAACATATTCATACTAGCCTAGCCTCGACAAAGAAGTCCTGTGAGATCAAGCAAAAGCATGACTTTTTGAGGCCCAGTTTGTAATGGCAAACACTGAGTATCAAGTCCCAGGTAGTCAAACAAATGAATAAATCCAAACATCAAGTCCTGGATTATATAGCAGTGAAAGTATCTAGTAAAATGGCATATACTGGTATAGAAAATGATTGAAGAAAAAGGCTAGGGCAAAAGCAAGTTGCAAAACAATACATACATAAAATAATCCTATTAAAACAATAAAAACTATGTAAATATGTATATAGAAAAATCGAGAAGAATATAAATATACTAGAATATACATTATGTGTGAGGGAATGGGATTATTTTCCTTTTTAAAAAAATTTTTTTAAAGAATTATTTTACTGGGACCAACAGTTAGTGTAATGGCTATGTCACTGGACTCCCATGTAGCCGACCATGGTTCAAGTCCTGGACCCGGTAGCTTAAACTGACTCCAGGCCCGTGTGCGTGCGCGCCCAGGATCCCAGGAGGAGAAGGGATTGCGGCATGGCCATCTCCCCTGGGGGATGATTTCTTGCTTTCTATCTCTCTATGTCTTTCTGTCTTTCTGGCAAGTGCACGCGCCCTATAGCAAAATCCTCTCAAAAAAAAAAGAATTATTTTATTTAACTTTATTTATTTATTTTAATTTGACCAGAAAGGGACAGAGTGAGAGAGAGAGAAAGTGAGAAGCAAGCTGCCAGGTTAAACCGTGGTCAGCCATGTGGCGGTCCAGCGCATTAACCACTGTACCACCTGGCGGCCCCTATATTTCATTTTTATGTAAAATAGTTTGATAATATTTTAATTACTAAAATTTGCATGTATTATTTTCATCAGCAGAAAATTACATATACACTAACATATATTCCATGTATGTTATACACATTTTTATGTATTATATATAATTTTAAATGAGCAAGCAAGAGTAAGACTGGTTCTTTTTATCTGGAAACATGGGCACATTACTTCATTTATGCTTCTCTTTTCTGAAAATGAGGGTACAGACTAAATGGCACCAAGTTCCCTTCTGGGTCCAAACTTAAGAGTGTACATTGAATTTTAGATTCCATTCTCTGAAATTGTCTAAACCTGAAATTTCCCTGAAGAACTGTTTCTCTTCCTTGGTCGTAAAGCTATTTTATTATTACCTGGATAAATGTGTTATTTATTTCTCCTAATTGCTTTCTAATCTCCACGATCTTCTCCTATAAAACAAAAGTTGTAATGAATTATGTGTGGAATTGAAACAAAACAAATAATTTGGAGGGGAAAGTACACTCATGAACAAAGAGTTTCAGATTTAATAGAAGCTGTATTTCCTCCATACTATCCCAGGTGCTAATCTCTAAAACCAATAGTAAAGCAAATCGTCAAGGTGTCATTGGCCACATCCTATGTAAGGCTCACCTTATGTAAGTGGCGTCTCGAAGTATGTAGTCTTCTGAGTCTGGCTTCATTTCCATAGTATAATGCAGTTGAGATTTATGTTGTTAGGTGATTCAGACGTTTGTTCCTTTTCATTGTTGGATAGTATTCCCTCATAAACATGTACAACTGTTTATCCACAGTAGCAGGTAGACATTTGGGCTGTTTCTAGTTTTCTTTTTTAAAAGAGTTATTTATTTAACTTTATTATTATTATTATTATTATTATTGAATTTGACCAGAAAGAGAGAGAGAGAGGGAAAGAAAGCAAGAAAGCAAGCCACCATGTCCAAATTTGACCTGCAGTCAGCTATATGGGAGTCCAGCACCTCTAACTACCACGCCACCTGCTGGCCCCCTAGCTGTTTCTAGTTTTTAAGCTCAAGATCGATGTTTTATTTATTTTTTAGAAAATTATTTATTTTATTTTATTTATTCATTAATTTTATTTTAATTTAACCAGAGAGAGAGAGAAAGACAGAAAGTGAGAAAGCAAGCCACCAGGTCTAGGACTTGAACAGTGGTTGACCATGTGGGAGTGTCCAGTGCTTTAACCACCATGCCACCTGCTGGTCCCCCATGTTTTGTTTTTAATATGTATGCAAAGCTATATAACTCCAGCATAGAGAATGTTCATACATATGTATGCTGTCTTCCCCTCTCATATTACCCCAAGCCCCTCCTTTTAAAAAATCTCATTCGCAGGGCCGGCAGGTGGCATAATAGTTAACGTACTGGACTCCCACATGGTTGACTGTGGTTCGAGTCCTGGACCCAGTGGTTTGAAATTCATGCCAGGTACAAGAGTTTCCTGAGAGGAAAATGGAAGAGAAGGAATTGCAGCATGGCCATCCACTGGGAGGTGATTTCTTGCTTTCTGTCTCTCTGGTGAGCACATACACTCTATAGCAAAAATCTCTCAAAACAAAACAAAACAAACCTCTCTATCATTTATCTCTGTGCCTTTTCTTCTCAGTCTTTTAAACTTTTAAAAGTTATTATTATGTAGAAGGTGTGCACTAACGCGAGAGAAAAAAAAGTACCCTTGATGGAGTCCTGTCAAGCCTCGATATCCTTTCCCCAGCCTTCTAGTTTCCCGGAATCCTGGGCACCTGAGCAAGTGCCCAGCATGTCCCTGGGTCAAGCTGGCAATTCAAATCCACAGTCAGCCTATGGCCTGAGTAAGGCGGTGTGGCCTACAGCACTGCAGTCCAGTGCGCTAGGGATTGGGCCACTTGCTGGGATTCCTCAGGCTTTTCATTTTATCCCTGTCTGCCCCCTACCTCCTGTTGAAATCTACATTCTTATAAAACAGCTGACTTTCAGAGAAAATTTCCTAAGGCAGCATAATTCATGGCCTTTGTCCTCCTCTTTTGCATAGTTTATCATTTCCACCGCCCAAGGATAGTAAAATACTCTTTTCTTTTCATCTAGCACAAAATGAAATTGTGACCCAAAATGTTGGACTATATCACGGTGAAAAATATTTTTTCCCTGGGCAATAAATCTGTGCTGATCTGCAGATGACTTTTAATATGAGAGGAGTCTGAATAAATATTTCCTTCTATAATAAAAGAGACATTTCTCCTTTATTTTTTCCAAATAAACTTAATTTCCATTCCTGAACTGGAGCTAACACAGAGGATGGCAATTTCAATAAAAAGACATGAGCAGAGACTTTTTTTCTTTAGGGACTTCTCAACAGCTTGACTTGCGGTAGAGCAGAAAAACTATCAGCCAGGATTCTCAAGTCCCATTCATGTCCAAAGTTGATCTTGTACTTTCAGCTCTAACATTCTATGACTCTTGAAAAATGTAAAGTTAGGGGCCAGCATTTGGCATGGTGGTTAAGGTGCTGGACTCTCACATGGCCAAGTGCAGTTTGAGTCCTGGACCTGGTGGCTTGAAAATCATGACAGGTGGGTATGCATATGTGCCCAAAATCCTGAGAGAGAATGGAGGAGGAGGGATTGTGGTGTGGCCATTACTCCCCTACCCCCACTCCAGGAGTGATTTCTCACTTTCCCTTTCTTTGTTCCCTATGGCAAAATAATAATAATAATTGGAAGGACCACTGGGTGGCATGGTGATAAAGGCACTGGCCTCCTATGTGGCTGATCATGGTTCCAGTCCTGGACCTGGCAGCTTGCTTTCTCACTTTCCCACTCACTCACTCTCCCTCTCTCTGGTGAGTGCACATTCCCTGTAGCAAGTTAAATAATAATAATAATTATAAATAAAATGAAGTAAATTATTCTTTTTAAAAAATATTGGAAAGTTAAGCCTTTCTCTGGAAACAGTCTATAAGAAATGTGAGGGGATGAAACAACAGGAAAACTGGAGATTGTGAAAACCAACACTAGAACTCCTCAAGGTATCAAAGACAACGCAGACTCTTCTATTCTAAGGGTACAGTTCTTGACAAATGTTTATTTCCTGAACCTTTTCTCTGTACTGTTAGGTGCTGGGTTACAAAGATTTTCTCCTTTAAGGTACTCCTTTTTTACTTAAGGTGGCAACAAGACATGGGACTGTGTGGTAGCACAGCAGTAATAGGCTCTGCAGGGCCGATCCACATGAGAAGGTCCCAAGTTCGTGTCTGGAGACCTCTCTGAGTACACCAGGCACAGGTGTGCTTGTGGTCTGGGGACAGCTGCAGGTTGGGAGTAGGTTACAGTGTGAGGATCCTGTCAGGATGCCTCTTCCTCTCTTTTTCTCTAGCTCATGGAAGAAATAAGTAAATAGACGAACATCCTATTCCTCTCACTGTGTTTCTAGCTAGGATAGAAAAGCCTAGGCTTTTTTGTGTCATCAGAGAAGAGAAATGGTGCTACCCAAGACGGAAGCACTCAGAGACCCCCGCCCATCTTATGATAGAGCCAGGCTGTGCGCTTTTTGTTATGACTGCTGAACAATAAAAGGGTGGAAGGGGGACCAGCAGTTAGCGTAATGGCTATGTCGCTGGACTCCCACGTACTCGACCGCGGTTCGAGTCCCGGATCCGGTGGCTTAAACTCACGCTGGGCGTGTGTGCGTGCGTGCCCAAGATCCCGAGAGGAGAATGGAGGAGAAGGGATTGCGGCGTGGCCATCCCCCCTGGGGGGTGATTTCCTGCTTTCTATCTCTCTGTCTCTGTCTGTCTGGTGAGCGCACGCGCCCTATAGCAAAAACCTCTCCAAAAAAAAAAAAAAAAGGGTGGAAGGAAGTGGCTAAAATCCCCAACCTCCCAAACTTGCCAAGCATCCGACTTACCTCGATAATTGCCTCCTGATCAGAGTCACGGTCCTTGCCCTTCAGATTTTCGGTTTGGCCCTCAAGAGATATCACCTCATTTAATAAACTACAAACAGACCGAGAGATGAACTAAGTCCTGTGAATTGAGAATAATCACCCAGACCAGAAGATACTTTTGATTTAAAAAGTGTAATGCTTTTCTTACATAAAAGGACTGGGGACCAACAGATGGCATAGTAGTTATGTTGCTGGATTCCCACATGGCCAACTGCAGTTTGAGTCCCGGACCCGGTGGCTTCAAAATCATGGCCGGCACATGTGCGTACATGGCCAAGATCCCAGGAGGAGAATGGAGGATAAGGAATTGCAGCATGGCCATCCCCCCAGGTGTGTGTGTGTGTGCGTGTGTGTGTGTGATTTCTCACTTGCCCTCTCACTGTCTCTCTGTCTCTCTCCAGTGAGCACACGCATCCTAAGACAAAAATCTCTCCAATAAAAAAAAAAAAAGGATGTTTGGGTGGTGATTGTATTGTAATGGAAAGTCAAAAAATAAAATTCAAAGAAAACAAAAGCACTCTGACTAATCTAGATAATATCAAAGAGTTGGGGGACCATCAGGAAGTGTGATGGTTAAGGTGCTGGACACTCCCACATGGCCAACCATGTTTCGAGTCCCGGACTTGGTGGCTTGCTTTCTCACTTTCTCTCTCTCTCTCTCTCTTGCCGTGTCTCTCTCTGGTCAAATTAAAAATGAATGGGGAACCAGCAGTTAGCGTAATGGCTATGTCGCTGGACTCCCACATAGTCGACCGCGGTTCGTGTCCCGGACCCGGTGGCTTAAAACTCACGCCGGGCACGTGTGCGTGTGTGCCCAAGATCCCAAGAGGAGAATGGAGGAGAAGGGATTGCGGCGTGACCATCCCCCCCTGGGGGGTGATTTCTCGCTTTCTGTCTCTATGTCTCTCTCTGTCTGTCTGGCGAGCGCACACGCCCTACAGTGAAAATCTCTCAAAAAAAAATTAAGAATGAATGAATAAATAAATAAAGTTAAATAAATAATTACTTAAAAAAGAAATCAAAGAGTTGTGAGGCCTGACTGAATACTGGAAGTGAAAATTAAAGTGTTTAAAATGGAAGCTTATAAAATTTTTAGGGAAAAAAAATCCACAGAAAATCTTTTGGACCTGTGATTAGGTAAAGTTCTTGGACTTGATACTAATCTCACAATTGGTAAGAGGAAAGATTGATAATTGGCCTCCATCAAAATTAAAAATTTTCTTTGTCTAAAGAACCTGTAATAAGGGTGAAAAGACAAATTATGACACAGGGAAAAGTATTTGTATATCACATATCTGGCAAAAATCTTATATCTAGAATAAAATAGAAATTCTCAAAATCTGGGCCAGCCTGTGGCCTGGTGGTTAAGGCAGCTGGATCCCACATAGCTGATCAAGCAGTTTGAGTCCTGATGCAGAGACTTGAAAAACACCAGGTGCCTATGTGTGCCCAAAGTCCTGAAAGGAGAGATAGACAAGAAGGGACTGTGGCTCAATCACACCCTGTGGGGGTGCTTTCTTTTTCTCTTCTTTTCTCTGTTGATCACACATACTCTCTGGCAAATGCTCTTTAAAAATTCTCAAAACTCAACATTAAAAACAAACTATCCAGTTAAAAAATGATCAAGTGACAATCAAATGGATTTCACCAAAAGGCTATATAGATGGCAAATAAACACACAAAAGGAATTAGGGAAATGCAAATTAAACTACAATGAGATATTACTACATGCTGGAAGGGCTAAAATAAAAAATAGTGATAACATCAAATGTTAGTGAGGGGAACCAGCAGGTGGCATGGTGGCTAAGGCACTGGACACTCCCACATAGCTGACCATGGTTCGAGACCCAGATCTAGCAGCTTGCTTTCTCGCTTTTCCCTCTCTCTCTCTCTGTGTGTGTCTCAAATTAAAATAAATGAATGAATAAATAAATTTTTAAGAAGTTGATTCTGACCATTTTCAACAATATTTTCATTGCTTACAAAAAAAATGCTAGTGAGGATGGGGAGAAACTGGATCACTCATACTTTGGTGGTGGGAATGTAGAATGTTACAGTTAGGAAAACAGTCTGATAGTTCCTACCAAAACTAAAACCGCACTCACCATATGACCCAGCAATTTTACGCTTTGGCCATTCTCCCAGAGAAATGAAGACTTACATAGGAACTTGTACATACACTTACAAAGTAGCTTTATTCATAGTAGCCCAAAACTAGAAATCGTCTACTTTTTTGTTTATTTGTTTAGGCTGGGCTGGAATTGAACCCGGATCTCCCATGTAGCCTTACCCTCCAGAGTAACAACATCTACTGGCAGCTGCCTCTATCACTGGCCTAGAAATTACACATTTTTCCTTCAGTGAATGAGTGGTTAAACACACTGTGCATAGCCATATTATAGAATACTACTCAGCAATGAAAAAGAAGGAAACTATCGGTATGTGTGACAGCTTGGTTGAACTCTACAGTTGGAATGTGTTAGGACAGTTTAGAAGGCCAGAGGTTATTCATTTCCAAGAATAGCGTCCATTTACTAACTGCTTATCGTATACCAGGCCATGCATTAAGTTCTTTCTATATGAAATTTGATTGACTCCTCTCAATAAACCAGTGAGGTGGGGGTATTTCTCTTTACAGAAGAGGAAAATCAAGGCTTAGAAAAGATTGATTGGCCTGGGTAGCTGTGGGAGTAGTACGTGACCCACGTTTGGTGGGCTTATTTATTTATTTATTTTTTTTGGAGAGGTTTTTGCTATAGGGCGCGTGCGCTCGCCAGACAGACAGAGGGAGACATAGAGACAGAAAGCGAGAAATCACCCCCCAGGGGGGATGGCCACGCCGCAATCCCTTCTCTTCCATTCTCCTCTCGGGATCTTGGGC